AGTCTTGCGCTGGAGCTTAGAGCGCCGGCATGACTCCGTCTCCCACCTAAGTACTAGAATACTGAGCGAGCTTGTAAATTCGGATACCTTTCAACTTGTCCTTTTCGGTAGTTTGGTCGTTTATTTGGTGTATATTTGTTCAATGCTGTATGTACATAGGTAATAACTATTTCAAAAAATGCATGGTTTAGTGGTAGATTACTGGGCTCGCACATAGAGCGCACAGGTTTCATCAAAGATATTCTTGTTTTCTTTTTTCGTGTGATAACGGCCACGGAGACCGGCAGCGGCTCCAGTCTACTTCGGCCCCCTATTTGTAATATCATAACAGCTCCCTCTGTAAAAACCATGAAGTGAGGTAATATGCCCGTGTAACCTTGAATTGTGTCTTCGCGACAATGCAGATTTTTTTTAAAAGGCATATTCTTGGTATAGGTTTTCTTCACTGCAGTGAAACAATGTTCACAGGTGGTTACATACGGATTACTACTCACGCATTATTTCATTACAAGTACTTCAAAATTTTCAAAGATTGAAATTCGAGTCGAAGCGAATTCCAGTACTGTAATATTCGTTTAAATATTCTAAGTGCTATTCTAATAGCTCAGTGACCCCAGTAGAGCACACCTCCTCGCTCGACAGTCCCAGTTTTCTGCGAAAATAAGGTCGGAGAAGACTGCGACGTGATAAGAGTCACTTAGGCAACCTATTATGTATGAATTTCTGAACCACACAGACCATTTTTCGCACTTATCAACACCTTTAAAGCATCCGCTGGCACGTACGAGCTGTCAAACTTATCGTGGACGGCACATATTCTGGCAAAGTTTCAGGGTGAACAACCTCTTATGTTGGCACTGGCGAACGGGTAAATGCGTCGGAATTGGCGTTTTGTTTCTCGGCGCTGTACACGATGTGGTAGCGGTATTGACTTCAGAGCAAAGTCCACATCTGGATACGTGCCGACGCCATTGGAGGTAGCGGTCGTTCTTCTCGTAGCAGACTCACAAGTGATTGGTGGTCCGTCACCAGCATTAACTCGCAGCCCAACAGGTAGTCTCGAAACTTTGAGACTCCGAACACCAGGGCCAGGGCCTTCATCTTGAGCTGCGAATAATTTTTCGGCGTACGTCTGTGTGAGTGAACGGAAAGCAGTGGACTTGTCGACGTTGCCCATCCGGTGCGAAATGACGGCACCCAAACTCGACAGTGATGCATTGCATTCCAAACGCACTGGCCTGTCTAGCTGAAAATATGTCAGCACTGATGAGCTGAGAAGCGTTCGTTTCACCTTTAGATAGAACTTTTCTTGAGTTGCACCGCACTCCCATTTATACTCTTTTTCGAGCAGAATATAAAAGGGGGCCAAGATCACCGACATGTGTGGTAGTGACCGGCGATAATACGATAGCAGACCCAAACATGAGCGCAGTTCGCTTATGTTTGTAGGCTGCGGTGAATTGCGTATTGCTGCGTGGTTCTCTTTCCGACGAGTGCACGCCGTCTTTGTCAATCCGGTGCCCCAAGCAGATGACTGAGTCTTTGCGGAAGTGACATTTTTCTGCCTTCAGCTTGATACCGTTTTTGTGCATCTGGTGCAATACATCCCGGAGAACAGAGTCGTTACCGCCTTGACGCTCAGCTATTAGTGCATCGTCGAAGTACGCCTGCACGGCTGGAAGGCCAGCCAGGAAAAATCCATGTGCCACTGAAAAATCGCGGGAGCAGAGGCAACTCCAAACGGAAGACGGTTATAGCAGAAGAGCCCCTTATGCGTGTTAACGACGGCCAGCTTCGCTTCCTTATCCAACGGGAGCTGGTTATACGTGTGCTTCAGATCTAATCTAGTGAAAGGATATCCCTCGCGAAGTGACGCGAAAATGTCCTCGATCTTACGTAGTAAAAGCTGCTCAGTTACGCACGCAGCATTAATCGTGGTTTTAAAATCACCGCAGATGCGAAGGGACTCGTCTTTTTTTAGTACCGGCAGTACTGGTGCCGCCCACTCTGATTATGTCATAGGCGATAATATGCCTTCGCTCACTAAGCGTTACAGCTCCGTTTCCATTTTCTCACGAAGAGCGTTCGGGATAGGCCGTCCCTTGGGGAACTTAGGGTGGGCGATTTCTTGAAGGTGTAATTACACCAGAGGCCCCCTGAATTCTTCCGAAAGAGATTTTAAAAAAGCCACTGGCATCTTGCCACAGAGGGGGTGGGGGGAACTAGAGTAAATGCGCCGCAAAGTGGTGGGGGGGTATCTCGTGAATATTGCGTAATTGGCTATGGTTTGAGACTCACCGGGTAGCGTTCATGTCGGGTAGGTGTGCAGGTCGAGGCGGGTAACTGTAGGTCACGCTCATCGACAGTACGTGGGCACGTACCAATGAGTTCTTACGTGATGCGCACACCAAGTACGACTGTAATGGCTTAAGCAGTCTCTCGTCGTCATCGTTGTAGCTGTTAGCGTTGTCGTTCACACTGCCGCCCTTAAAGTCGACGTTGCGAAACATGTTCCAAAGAACCCGCAGCGCGTTGGTCTGCTTCGCTTTGTTCTTGTTGTTCCCGACCAGCGTAAAGTCGTTGTCGAGGTGCAGTCTGTTGCACACCCTACAGCTGTGTCCTAAGCTGTGGTATTCAAAGTCGCGTTTGCAGCGAGCGGCTGGCTCCGGAAACTGCTTGGCTCGCCCCTCCCCTTTCGCGGCACGCTCGCGTTCACAGGCAGCTTCCGGAGCCGCCTTTCGTTGACGACGTTTGCACGCCGCTTCTCGCTCACGTGCTTCTGGCCTTAAAGCTCACTGCTCACGTTTCGCAGCTGCTTCTCATGCACATAGTTCGGAATCCGCAGCTCGCTTTAAACGCTTGCGTTCAGTGTCTTATACTCGTCGCTTCACACCATTGTCTTCTGCGTTGCTTGCTGTTAACGTTGAAGACAGTGAGGGTGGAACAACGTTGCCTTGAATGAGTGGTGGGACGATGTGCCCCGGTACTAGTTGAAGGTACTGTTGCCATCTGTTGCTTCTCTCGCATCTACTTGAATCAAGCAAGCCGTGAAATTAAGCGAAAAAGAGGATGAAAGGTGAGAGAGGGAGGGGGAGGAGAGAGAAGCGGAGCATTTGCAGTGAGGATGTGGACGCCGACGACAAGTGATATGGTGCGACTAAAAAAAGTTCCGCATTTAAAAAGTGCTTGAAACTCTGTGCAGAGGCTGTCACGAGCAACTGACATCGATTGCGCCATTTCGAGGAACTCACTCAGAATTGTTGACAATGCTTGCGAAAATTTCTTCCGCAAAGGCTAGGACCTGAACACCGTATAACTATCAGGGTGGCAAGGACAGCTTTGCCTGAAAATCGGGCTTGAAGCTGCAGTTCACCGGCGATGGGCAGCTTGCCCAGGTAGCAGCTGAGAGAGTCTGTGCATTTTGATAAGCACGGCCAGTTTAGGTGATGCTTGAGACGCACTTCATGCGGAATTATTGAAAATGGTGAACTTGCATCAATGATGATACTCACAGGCACGCTACTCCCCCCCCCCCCCCAACAGATAACTGCGATATGCCTGTAGCAAAGATTGCTTCTCTCGTGTCTCTAGTGCAGTGAACACTAGAATTACCCCCTTCATCTGTTTCACACGCAGTTCTCTCATTCGGAACGGCGTAAATAGTGAAGCCCGCCTGCTATAAACCTTGAGCCTCGACTTGGAGTGGCTGCCCCGCCGCGGTGGTCTAGTGGCTAAGGTACTCGGCTGCTGACCCGCAGGGCGCGGGTTTGAATCCCGGCTGCGGCGGCTGCATTTCCGATGGAGGCGCAAATGTTGTAGGCCCGTGTGCTGAGATTTGGGTGCACGTCAAAGTACCCCAGGTGGTCTAAATTTCCGGAGCCTCCACTACGGCATCTCTCATACCCATATAGTGGTTTTGGGACAGTAAACCCCGCATATCAATCAAATTAATCGACTTGGAGTGGCATTTTCGTGCGAAATGACCCATCTTCCCACAGCAAAAACATCTTTTCTTTGCGTGCAATCATTTGCTTGATGATCATATCCTCCGCAACGTGGGCAATCGCCTACTCGTTGCTTCTTATCTCTAACGGTGGTTTCGCACAGGCGAGATTTTTTCAGTTTAACTGCGTACCGCTGCCACATCAGCATTGTTTATAGCGCTAACTTTGTTCGCAGCGGTTTCGGCAGTCTCACCAATGTTTTTCGCTTCGGCCTGCGTGAGCTTACTTCTTTCGAGAAGCATGTGCTGCACAGCACAATTCCGGACGCCACAAACGATGCGGTCACGTAACATACGGTCAAAGCCGGTGCCGAAATAACGCTTATCTGTCGATTTGCGGAGTTCAACGACCTAGTCTCGGACAGATTCAGTGACAGGTTGGTCCCCAGTGAAGAACCTATAGGTTGCGGCAACATCATTACTCTTCGGCACATAGTGGGCATTTAGGAAGGCGAGGGCTTCTTCGTAACTCAGCTCATTTAATTTACGTGCTGCGCAGTGCCCTGAAATTACGCCTACCAACTTTGCTGATAGCATCGAAAATAAAAACACCCTTTTCTTTTCCGCTTCGTATTATCATTTGCTTCAAATAACGCTGAGCCGCGAAAATCTCCCACCTATCTTCATTTTAGTCGAAACTTTGAGTGTCGGGACTCGTAGCCATGGCCATGACCGCCGCTGTTCCATGGTGTTGGGTGGTCACATTAACCGGTCAGAAATCGTGAATCCCATCTTCGTCGCCATTGTAAAAACTAACCCACACTGACTGGCTAGGCCAGGAACCAACGCAGAACAACTTTATTTTGCAGACGAACAACTTTACTTTGTTACGCCATAGGCAACACAAGATAGTGGAGTGTATAACGTTCGATACGTATTGGCACTGCACTTCTTATCACTCTCAAACAGCGCGTGCGCGACGTTCTCGTTTGTATAATCAGAACTGTACGACACGTCACATTTCGAACACTTAACTTCAAACCAGTGCTACCAGTTCTATATGCAGTGGTTTTTGAAGTGCAGAAAGGATCGGTTGCAAACACTTCTAACGAGCATTTCTGTGACCATAATGGAGGAGTGTGGCTGCGATTTTGTTGAAGGCGAAAACACAGAAGTCATAGCATCATCAAGACCTCAGGTGAGTGCGAACAATCACTTGTATTGCTACAGCGTTCGCGAGCATGGCAGACAAATAGAAAGTGCGTCCTGTTGGGCGTTTGTTTCATCTAGCGTGCCAATTAAGTTTGCTTTAGTTATTTCCTTTGCCTTCGTAGTGTAATGGCTTATGTTTGTCGTTAGCATTTAACCGCTTAATCAGCAAGAATAACATTTGTATGAAAGGTATAACGCCAGCATGAATACTTAGGACGATGGCAACGCATTTTGTCTAATTACAGAGATTTGAGCACCGCCCACTAAGTGAAAATTTTGAAGTATGATGTGCGTGTTCTACATTTAATTGAATGACACTGACTAGCTGTTTTTGTTCAAATGTTAAAAGTTTTCAAGAAGCTTTCTTTATTGTTGCTCGCAGGATATGCAGCGTGATGGTATGTTCAAGCGAATCGAGCATTCCGTCAATTGCCTTCAATTCATCCTGTATTTATGTACCTCTGTATGTTAATTGAACATGTGTGCATTGAACTACATATTACTTCTATTGTGAAGCTCCATTCCTGTATTGACCCATCCTGGTGCTCTAGTGGCTAAGGGTACGCGGCTGCTGACTTGCTGTTCGTGGGATCCAATCCCGGCTGCGGCGTCTGTATTTTCGATGGAGGCCAAAATTTTGTAGGCCCGTGTGCTCAGATGTGGGTGCACGTTAAAGAACCCCAGGTAGTCGAAATTTCCGAAGCCCTCCACTACGGCGTCTCTCATAATCATATGGTGGTTTTGGAACGTTAAACCCCACATATCAATCAATACGATCTGCTGAGATACGGCAGAAAAGGTTTCAGCCAAGTCAGAAGCCGTCAGTACCAGAATAAATAGATGATGATTGATACATTGGGTTTACCGTCCCAAAACCATCATAAGATTATGACAGACGCCGTAGTGGAGGGCTCCAAAAGTTTTGACCAACTGGGGTTCTTTAACGTGCACCAAAATCTGAGCACATGGGCCTACAACATTAATGCCTCAATCAGAAATGCAGCCAACACAGCCGGGATTTGATCACACGACCTGCGGGTCAGCAGCAGAGTACCTTATCAACTATACCACCGCGGCAGAGCCTCAGCAGATAAAAATTTTTGATATATTACTACTAGTGTCTCAAATTGCCGGAGTAACTTTAGAACGGTAAACAACAAATACCGACGTAGTCTCACCGTAGCCCTTCAACCTTCGACTTTGATACCATCCTTGAGGTTGTGCTTACTGTGATGTTGCAGATGCAGCGACGCATCGAATGTGCAAAGCATTGACTTGTGTGGAATGGCGACATAGTGGCGAAAAGCGTAAGCGGAATATCAAAGCTCTCATAGAAGCGCACACGTTCAAACATTGATAGTAAGCTAATTGATAAACATTGATAATAAGTCAAGTGTAGTATCAGTGACAGATCACTTCCGGAGGTCGGTAGAATAAAGGGGAGTGGCAGCACGTATGGCTAGAAATGATGTCGCCTTGTTGATTGCGAATGACACGAAAGATCTTTGCACGCATGCGTGTGTGTTTCCAGTCATTCGTTTCGGCCAGCAAGTTTAACCGTACCGCCATTTCATGTGAGCCTAGTACAATAGGTATAATGTGCACGTGTTTTCATGTAAAAACACGGCGAAGAAATTACCGAAAGCAGTGGCTCAGCATTAACTGTTTCCAAACATAGGATTGTCTGGCTCTCTTGTTGCTGTAGTGCAGTGTAGTCGTCTGTGCATGAGCACGGGAGTATAGGTTACCTAAGAGTAACCACCGTGTAAAGTTGGACCAGTTGGTAAGTGATCATTGTATTCAAATTTCGTGTTGAGAAGATAATAAAAGAAGCTTATACAAACATGCGAGCATAGGTTACCCTATTACCTAAAAGCGCGCACCATGCCATTTGTCTGCTAAATCAACAAATATTGTAAGTGCGTACACTTCTTCAAATCTCTGTGCTTTGGCAGAGTTTGTCGTGCGCCAGGGTTTTTATCTAGGTCACCCTTTTGTGGTATTCACCATGCGCTGTGTCCAGGTATATGCTAAAAACCATAGCTACCACAACAATGAAACCAAGATCATGGGTCTAGTGGCTAAGGTACTCGGCTGCTGACCCGCCGGTCGCGGGATCGAATCCCGGCTGCGGCGGCTGCATTTCCGTTGTAGGCGGAAATGTAGTAGGCCCATTGGCTCAGATTTGGGTGCACTTTAAGGAACCCCAGGTGGTTGAAATTTTCGGAGCCCTCCACTACGGCGTCTCTCATAATGATATGGTGGTTTTCCGACGTTAAACCCCACATATTATTCAAACCAAGATCATGGGCGTTGGTCCTCCTGATAAGGATATGCCACTTCGCGTCAACGTAGGTCCACCATTGTCAAATGGTGTTATAGGAGCGAAACATCAGTAAGCATTGCTCGAGCACTGATATATTACTTCACAATAAGCACTGTATCAGACATTGTGACTGACACAGTTATGGACACAAGCTTGTGCCGAGAAAAAAGGAACCCAAGATTGCTTTATTGCATCATGCTTAGAGGCCCACTTAATGAGGAGTCAGTTCCAAAAGAAAGAGAAGCAAGGTGTTGGAAGATAAAACACTGGCATGTGTGCTCAAAACGAAACGTAAATGAGCACAAGCATATATGATACATTTCTCTCGTTTTCATATTTTTGGAAACACTTCCTAGTGACTTTAGGATTTGTTGAAGGATTCTTGTGTCACCCAAGCGTTCGGTTGGCCTATAGCATGAAGCTGCAATTTTTGTGATACTGGTGAAGGTCACCACGATGATACGGCTCGCGGTGTATGTTCGCTGATGATGGGTGTGCTCACGAGATGTACTTGTTTCGTCATCAGAGCTCTCGCTCGTTTCACTTTCTGATAGTTCGTGGTGCAGATATTACTTGGCCTTCAGCAAAAGTTGGCGGTTTCACGGTATAATCCGATCGTTTTTCATCTTGACCAAATGGGACCTCAGCATTGCTTTTGCTGCCCCTTTGCTTTTCGAGCACAATGAACGCTTCTTCATGCTCACCACATCACACTATTGAAGAAGCGATGGAAATGAACAATTGACGCTTGTCTGATTGGGCTTTTTCACGTCCATTGTTGACTGGGCCGAAAGTCAGGCAGTGGGGTCCACAGGCAGCATTCTCGAAGCACCCCTTAGGAGGACTGAATATCCTCCAGACGTTGTGCCCTGTAGTGCAGAATCCAGACAGTTCTCGGTAACCTCAGTAGTTTTCTTTAGTATCCATTTGACGATTTGAAGTCCTTTTTCTGTTGGACCGTTCAACCTTGCAAATGGCGGACTTCACGTGATGTGAAGGTCATATAATTTCGGGAACTGAGCAAATTCGTGACTGGAAAACTTGAACTATGATCCGTGCGTTTTTACGAGAAATCCATATATTGAAAACATTGAATGAGCTTATCGATGGCTGCAGTGGCCATGGTTCAGTACGACCGCTCTACTTTGAAACATCGCATCGTATGCACCCAGGTAGTGAGTTTCTGCGTGCTGGAATATTTGGATTCCCATTCGAAACCATGCGCTAGTCAGCTTTGGACGCATTATTAGCGACTCGGATGGTTCAGATGGTTCTGAAGTTGCAGAAAGTTCCAATAAACGCAAGCCCGCTTGTGTACGTATTCAGAACAAATGCATTAAACTACTTTGCTTCCAGTACAAAATGGTGGCCTAAAATTGCGTGGTTCATAAGCCAGTACAGCCCAAGTATGATTTCCAAAGGGGCAGAAAGGTGTTGTGCACCCGCTCGGACAAAAATTCACATAAACTGCTGCTGGTCATCACGTGTATTTCTGCTCTCTTGGGAAACGAAGCATTGCTGGTGAACTTTGAAATTTTTGACCTCTTCAAGGCCAAATGGGAAAATGTCTTTATGATTTGTGTCCGCTCGTTGAGAGTCACTTCTGGAGCGTTCATCAGAGTGGCGTGATTTACAGCCCCGAGAAAAGCAAATCCCCAATAATAAGTAGCCCAAATGTAGCCACATAGCCAACTCGTCCAGGACGACGCGAATTTTTTAAAGACGATCGATAATCTTGTTTAGGGACCTTCGACGAAAAAATTTTGGTCTGTCGGTCTGTACGTTTGCCTGTTCGTCCTCTCTAACGATACCTCAAACAGCACCAAACGGCCAACCCCATCCGCAGCGCCCACCAATATTGCTCAGGATTTAGCGTTCATAGTTGTGCAATTATCAAATAAAAAGCAATTATTGCGCATATCTGAGGCGCCACAACAATGCTTCGACGTTTTGTATGTCTGCCTTTTTTTCTATAGCCAAATTTGGCTATCTATAGCCAAACCTAGCAACACCGTTATACATATTCTGTAGAAGACACGCATGCAACACCGCAGCGCTGAGCCGCTCACCTTTTCACGCACACATTTAATTCAAATTACTATCCACTTGAAGGATGTTTACGATGAACTTGACTTTAGGCCGAAATGATACCTGATCTCGTTGAAATGCTTATCCTCGCCACTTTTCTTGTGCACTACATTATAAGTAACTCGGCCACACAGCTTACGTTTTACAAAAAGGTAACAACAAGCTATTTACAAACGCCGTTTACCGCTGGCGGTACCTAGAGCTTGGGAGGATTTCTTTTTGTTACTACCAGTGAGATGGTGTGATTGATTGATATGTGGGGTTTAACGTCCCAAAACCACCAAGTGAGATGGTGTGAAAGGCGCAGAGCGCGTACTCTGAAGGTCCGGCTCATTGCGACGTGTGCGAGCCAACTTCTGCAGTTTGTCAGACTGGGCTCGATCACCCGTGTGCGAGCGTTTAGCTTACGTTTCTGGCTTTCACCGCAGACTGACTTTAAGGTTAGAGTGCACGAAGGTCACAGGTCACTTCCCTCACTGCAGTGACCATGTTTGCTAGAGAAGCGCACTGTTCAAACACGAGCAACTGTGACAGATGTTATTTCACGCTCGTCCTGTGTGTGCCCTTGTCACTTAAACAGCGCGCTGAAAGTTTCGAGTTGCTTACCGTTCTTCGCGTGACATTCCAATTTCTTGTATGATTCATCGCTTCGCCTTCGTGGTGAAACAATGTGCAATGAATTCTCAATAATTTTGTGAAGGCTCATTTGACGTTTGTGTTATACCGATTCCTATACCCTTGGAGTCAGCCATGCTTTCTCTTCTTTTTCTACGCATGGTTCATATAGCAGATTTCTTTGATTGTAGCAGCGGAAGACTTTGTATATCGATTCCTACGATGGAAGGATGAACTATGTCGTTTTTTTTTCTCTTCTCATGGTTCTCGCAGTGAATCGATTTTATTGTAAAAGCACAAGACGCCCACTGAACAGCAAAAGTGCTGGAATTTTTATTGCGATGAAAATGCGTGGGCACTGAAAGCAGATTATTGCGTTCATCACCATCGTGAGGTTCTGTATAAAGTCCAAAGGCGACAACACGACCACAGGCATCGTATGCTTTGGGTGCGAACGAAAGCATGAAAAAGACCGATAACAATCATAGCTCTTGCGGCATGAGCTGCGGGCTTTTCGTGGCTGGATGCAGTGTTGCGTGTCTTAACTTGTGTCGAGCCAATGAGCCCTTATCTGCAGCACGCACGGTGGAAGGAGAGCGAGTAGAGCACATGCGCATTGCACATGTGCGAGACGAGCGTCTGCATCCAAAAAAGCCTGATGGGGGCGAAAAAGCAGCAGGAGATAAGAAAGGTCTGGAGACGAGCCGCGGTGTTTTTCGGTGGCAGGCAAGCGATCGAATTCGGCGCTGGTCCCGCTAGGTACGATGGGTTTGACCACCGTGCGTGGTACAGAGCTGAAGCCACGAGGGTTTGGGCATCCGCTGAGGCGGTTCTATGGCTCGTATTCTACGGCATGTCCCGTGTGAGTTTGCTTTCCCTCCGTTATGTTTCGCACTGGCTTTTCTGCAATTATGTTCCGTGCCGTATGTTCTATTGGCCACCTGTCTGTTGGGCTTGTTCATTCAAGGTTTTGTGGTACTCCTGTGTACTCTAGTGCTAGGTTATGCTGGTCTGGAATACCGATTGCGAATAAGTTGAGCTGTATATAAAGGCGATTCTTGTTCTGAACGTTGCTGGCTCGTGTCCTGCGAATTTCGGCTGATGGACCCCCCTTAGCGGAGTTGGGGCTCTCATTTGGCTGTGCTCAGCATACAGCTCGTACCATCAAGCGTGCTGTGTGCTCACCGCTTAGTCTGGGATGAAACAACATGCAGAACGACGATCACGTCGCTTGCTACAGTGGCTACCTCTCCTTGAAACATCGTTTGGATGGGTGTCCCTAGTTCGGAGGCTGAAGGAGTTGGCTGATTGTCTTAGTTCGTAAAATATTGCAAGTTAGGGTAGCTTGTAATGCTAGCCATCCGGTTCTGTGTATAAATCTCTACAAATTTAAAGTGTAAATATACTATGTCTGTACAGAATAGTTTTATTTTTTAGGTATGTGGGAGTTCTGGTATAAAAATATATCCGTCTATTGATTCCTAGTTTCGAAGTATTATTCAATCTGAAAAATATATAATGATTGTAAAAAATAATACATACCATGTTAGCGCGCGGCATCACGCACCGCTGCCTCTTCTGAATGCTGTTTCAGAAGATCGAGAGCATGCACTGCGCACGTAGGTTAGTTTTCCCTGCCAGCCTGCTAGTTCGCTCACTTCAAGTGCGAGAAAACGCACGGTGCCATTTATGCAGTCAGTGTCCAAGATCTAAGTAATTTGGCTGACCGAAAAGTTTATTACTTGACAAAAACAAGGTGCATGGCGAATTTCTCGTCAGCTTCGTTTCTTACAAAGCATGTGTATTTTCTTGTAACCTTGCACCCTAAAAGAGGCATGACATGTTCTTTCTTTCACTGCACCGATCATTAGGCGCAAGATACTTGCTTGCTTGTTTACGAGGTGCCTCCTGATGGGAAGGGTACCAGAGTCGTGGAAGAATGCTAACATCATCTTAACACATAAGAAAGGAAATGACAAGGACTTGAAGACCCCGCCGCGGTGGTCTAGTGGCTAAGGTACTCGGCTGCTGACCCGCAGGTCGCGGGTTCGATTCCCGGCTGCGGCGGCTGCATTTCCGATGGAGGCGGAAATGTTGTAGGCCCGTGTACTCAGATTTGGGTGCACGTTAAAGAACCCCAGGTGGTCAAAATTTCCGGAGCCCTCTACTATGGCGTCTCTCATGATCAAATGGTGGTATTGGGACGTTAAACCCCACAAATCAATCAATCAACAAGGACTTGAAGAATTACACGGCGATCAGATTGCTCTCCGTAGTATGCAAGCTATTTACAAAGGTAATTGCTAACAGAGTAAAGAAAACATTAGAATTCAATCAACCAAAGGAACAAGCAGGATTTCGAACAGGCTACTCAACAACTGACCACATTCATACTATCAATCAGGTAATAGAGAAATGCTCCGAGTATAACCAACCACTATACATAGCCTTCATATATTACAAGAAGGCGTTTGATTATGTAGCCATATCGGCAGTCACGCAGACACTGCGGAATTAGGGCGTCGATGAAGTATATATAAACATCCCGGAAGAAATGTACAGGGGATGAACTGCTACAATATTGCTTCATAAAGAAAGCGACAGAATACCAATCAAGAAGGGTGTAAGACAGGGGGATACAATTTCCCCATTGCTATTTACCGCGTTCTCACAGGAGGTTTTCAGAGGCCTAGAATGGGAACAGTTAGAGATAAGAGTTAACGAAGACTATCTTAGTAACATATGCTTCGCCGTTGACATTGCATTGCCGAGTAAGTAAGGGGACGAACTGCAACTCATGATTACGGAGTTAGACAAGGAGAGTAGGAAGGTGCGTCTTAAAATGAATCTGCAGAAAATGAAAGTAATGTACAACTTCAGAAGAGAGCAGCGCTTTGAGATAGGTAGTAGTGCACTTCAAGTTGTAAAAGGCTGTCTACTTAGGGCAGGTAGTAACCGCGGTGCCGAACCACGAGATGGAAGTAACTACAAGAATAAGAATAGAGTGGAGCACATTTGGCGAACACTCTCAAATCATGACATGTATATTGCCACTATACCTCAAGAGGAAGGTACATAACAGCTGCATTCTGCCGGTACTTAGCTACGGAGCAGAAACCTGGAGACTTACAAAAAGGGTTCAGCTTCAATTACGGACGACGCAGTGAGCAATGAAAAGCAAAATGGTAGGTGTAACCTTGAGAGACAAGAAGAGAACTGAATGGATTAGGGAAGAAACGGGGGTTAAAGATATCATATTTGAAATCAAGAAGAGAAAATGGACATGGTCCGGGCATGTAGACAGGATAACCGCTCGTCCGTAAGGGTAACTAACTGAATTCCCAGAGAAGGCAAGCGGGTTAGGGGAGTGAGAGGGTTAGTTGGGGAAATGAGATTAAAAAGTGTGTGGGTATAAATTGGCAGCACCAAGCACGGGACCGAGTTGACTGGCAGAACATTGGAGAGGCCTTTGTCGTGCAGTGGACGTCGTCAGGCTGATGATGATGATGATGATTATGACGATGATGATGATGATGGCTTGCTTGGAGCACCACAGAAAATTCCAGCATGCATATTCAAATTCTGCGAAATACCCGCCACGTTGGTCTTGTGGGTGAGGCACTCGGCTGCTGGTCCGCAGGTCGCGGGATCGAATCTAAGCCATGGCAGCTGTAGTTTCAATGGAGGTAACACTGTTTGAGGCTCTTGTGCTTAGATTTAGGTGCAGGTCAAAGAAGTGGCTTGAAATTTCTGGAGTCCTCAACTACGGCGTCTCTCGTAATCATATGGTGGTTTCTGAGCATTAAACCCAAACACCATTATCATAACCGAGTTCCGTCAATGAATATGCTGAATAAACTTCTCACATATATCATCATGACCACTCTTTCATCTTTTTTCGTAGCGCTATGTTTATTTTGTCATTGCGCTATTAAAACCTACATGTCGCTACCAAACTTCTCACATAAATTTATTTCCGAAATACTAACGCAAAGCATTTTTAGCGCACCGCGAAGTGTCTCGGAACAAGGCACAGACTTTGGCCCCGTGCCGAGCATTGTCAGTAGAAGTTTTTGAATATCTCTTAGGGTAACATCACTTGGTGTGCCTGCGACTAAAGAAAAGCGGCCCCTTGTGCATACTCCAGCGTTCCACAGCGTCAGCATTTGCCGTGAGTAAACGAGCAAGCTGGCAGGTAAAAATGGCAAGCGTGCGCAGTGCACGCTGTGGAGCTTCGTGAGCTGTCATCAGATTGTGCCATTTTTCCACAAACTTCCATAGTCTCTAGTATTTTGACCGCCGATTTACGATGAACGGTACCGGTATAAAAGTCAAATTTTCGGCAGTGATACCAACCACACAGAAAAAAATTCTTCCGCAAACTCCTTCTTTTCTTCTTTCGGGACACTGGTGGCATTTGGTCTCACGCTATATATGCAGAGTTGTATCTAAGGAAGAGACTGTGTGAGCCACAGTCATAACGCACATAGTTGTTTTGTTATGAGATCTTGGGATTTTCGTGCTTTGGGGTTTAGCATAATTCATGTTTTTTTTTTGGCATCACGCAGACTCTTCAAAGCGGCAACCTTCAACAGCGACTGGGTTCGTCAACACTGTCCGAAACGCAGCCATTTTCTAGAAATGGGAACCATTGCCAGGAAATTGGTGTTATGGCACAGGGTCAACAGGAAAATTCGCCAAGTGAGCATTTTTTGTTTTCATATCCAGTTTTACGCTGTTGGAAGACAGAAAGAGCACACGTCAAGTTTTTCTAACCATCTCCCACGAAATGACAGAAAATATGCGTGTGTATACAGCCAGGTACATGTCAGGAAACTCGAAGTATTCAAAACGAACCCTCCACCTTCCACTTTTCTAGAGTGTTGCCTACATTATTGTTGACTTCCCTCGTGGTGCAGTCTAAATTTGTCGCTCGCGTTAGTGAATATTAACTAAGCCACTCAGCGGACCTTGCAGGCGAGTGGGGAGGGGGGTAACAGAGCACAAAAAGAAAGAAAAAAAACTAATAGCCGAGAAATGACTCGCTTGTTTCAGCGAAGCACATTGATGTGCCACCTGTTCAACAAAGCTGAACTTAACTGTCAGTCGAGTAAAGGCTTTGGTTGAAATACGCTCGTACTTAACTAGCGTGTTCTCAACACTTTCTTTCTCATGTTTTTGCACACAAAAGTTTCTTTTTGATGAACATTTGCAGTACCATCTTCGCATCGTCAGTTTTACGCATCGTTCTGCTACGCAACTTAGTTCAGGAGAGAAAATTGGTGCGCGAGCGGCCTGCTTCGTAAAAAGATGACCATGTCAGCATGTTGCGCGTAAGCGCAGTTGTCGTCTGCACTCATCGGCTGGGCCAGCCTGCCCGCTGAGAAGATTAGCCCTAAATCTGTAATGTCAATACCTCTCGAGGGTGGTTCCGCACTGATTTCGCCGTGGGAATTTTCAAGTTGGCTACACGTTTTTTTTTCGCAGACGGAAGTCTCTTTCTCAATGAAAATGATGCAGTACCGTCTGCGCAACGCGCTTCCTTTGTGGTCTCGCCCAAAAGAACGGACCTGCCTTCTCAGGATCGTGATTATCAAGAAAAAGCTCACGGCGCGGCAAGAGCAGCTCTCTGCCCTTCCAACTTCCGGCCTATCCTGGTGCTTAGGCCCATATGGTACATCATTCTTCGTTGTTTGCGTGTTCGTGTGGGATAAAAATGAGCGAAAGTAAGATTGGTATTAGGCGATTTTTTATTGTTTGTTTCTCTACGACCAAATAACGACCAACAAAAACATAGCTAGAAACCAGCTTATCGCCTGGTGCACATACGAAAAGAGAAGAAAGTTCACAGTTTGCAATGACCGTTTTAGTTCTTTTTTTCTTTAACTAAGGCTGTTGATATTTTCCCTTCCATAATAATAAAACAATGCGCACTCACTGTTACGGTATTTTTCTAATCGTAACATCATTGAAAAAAACACGCTGAACAGCAACGAAAAAAAGTTCTTGTTTTAGAGCTTTTCTTTATAATTTCACTGGCTTCATTAAGGCACAGTTATATGAATCTAATATTCACATAAATGTTTATCTTTGTATACAATGTCAGAAAAACGTTTAATGAACTAGTCTGTAGGTTACAATGTACTAGAAAAAAATGGTCATACGTAGATGTAGTGTGTGCTCTTGATCACACGCACAAAAGAAAACAATTCGCCAAACCCTCCGTAAATTCATATTATGATTTAATTCAAAATAATTTTACTGGTGTTTTTTTATTTTTTTCATTATTGGGATTTCAGTTTGTAAACTCACAATATATTTCTAAGGCACACTGTAGTGAAGGCCTCTGAATATATCGACCAACTGCAGCTCTTGATTTCCTGGTACATAGAATGCCCTAAAGTAAGCTATAAGAAATCAGCGCACTTTGTTAATTACAGATTCTGACATCATTCTAGCTGAGGCAAAATATTCTCGTTTCGTCCAGCGCAGTGGTGTAGCGGTTGCGCTGGTCGGCCATGCTTCCGGATGTCGTGAATTCAGGCCCGTATTCAGAAACAAATTTTATTCTTAACGCACAATCTTAATCAGGTGTCGGATAAGAAACGGCATATAGTCGGCGCGCTCCTGCGTACTGACTTGACTAAAATCGTGTCTATAGGGAGATCAGCAATGAAAAAATTACCCGTGACAGCCACGCGCCACAAAGCATACAGCCGGTAAGAGCAGGCGCAAGAACGAAAAAAAGAAAACAAAGGAAGAGCTGCCGTTTCTGATGTGCCAGCCTACGCCATGAGCCGGCACCAAATTATGCAGAACCATTCAGCCACAAGCGCGAGCGCGGAAACGAATAAAAAAAACGCCCCCCCCCTCACCCCCGCCGCCACCGCGCCAGCTGGGCGCCCGGCGCTGGCGTCACGTTCACCGCCGCCTGCATGCCGTAGCATTTGTGCGTCGACGTTTCGTCCCGCTCACTTGTGATGGTCGTTTTTCTACAAGATGGTCTGGGACGGAAACATTTTCCAGTGCTATACGGCACACTTTATTCAAGATATCACACATCTCTCTGCATTTGGACAAAGACTAAGATGTGCAGTCTCATTGTTACTCTTTTGACTGCAATAAAAGAGTACAAACAACTTTTCGTTCATCAGTTGTCGAGCTATGACAATGTGTCATGCACTAAATCAAAGAGTACTAGTGCATGCGCAACAGCTTACAGAAACACTGGCCTATGTATGTTGATGCTCATGTTCTGCGAAAAAAGTTGGACTGATAACTTTAGGAAAACATGGCAAAAAAAAAACCGAAAGCAGCGAGACAGAGAAAGATCAAAATGGGAAATCGATTGGTCGAAGTTTGCTTAGTGGTTGCGTAATTTCATGATGAACATCAAGTACAGAAGTCAGCAGGAGAGCGTATGTCACCGGCATTTGCTCACTCTTTTGAATATTAGGTACAGTTCCGGCATTTCAGCATAGATTTGCAACAGGGAACCACGACCAAGACAACCAGAGTACTGCTGGAGAGATATTGTACCAGCTATAAAAATCCACATTTTCATTTGAGCAACTGCATACAGTAACAAAGATTTTGAGGTTTGTTCTGCACCATTTCTTGACCCCAACTGCACCCAGAAGTTTGCGGAAGAGATGTGCAGAAGTATCATTTATTTTGACGGAGACCGACGCCCCGCCACGGTGGTCTAGTGGCTAAGGTACTCGGCTGCTGACCCGCAGGTCGCGGGTTCGAATACGGGCTGCGGCGGATGCATTTCCGATGGAGGCGGAAATGTTGTAGGCCCGTGTACTCAGGTTTGGGTGCACGTTAAAGAACCCCAGGTGGTCGAAATTTCCGGAGCCCTTCACTACGGCGTCTCTCATAATCAAATAGTGGTTTTGGGACGTTCAACCCAGCAAATCAATCAAATTGAGGGAGACCGACTTGTCCGTTGCTAATTTGTGTACGCCATACTTGACCTTGCCGTGCGTTTCGGCATTCACTTGAACAGTGGTGTGTTGCTGAATAATCCTAAGAGTAGCCACTCTCCATAAATACGATCAGTTAAAGACTGAAAATGAGTAAAAACCACTTTATATAGCGAAATAATGCGAATGAATTCTAATTGCACAAATAAGTAATCGTCCAAAAGCTAAAAAGGCGCTGCTGCCCCAGCGTGCAGCTCGCGGCAGTTCGCGCGTGAAAAATGCAAATGTTAGAGCAGGTACGCTAAAATACCCATGCAACGTTTACGTGTGAAAGCGCATTGTCTTCAAACAGCTGAGAATAGGCTGCTGTCACTCAAACGCATGTACTTCCCGACACAAATTATGCGCCTTTTCTGACAGCGCACGCACGTGCGAAAAACATACGCAGGTTTTGACAGCCGAACACAGCCTCGTCCGCCAATATCGATGAGCGTAACACCCGAAGTTTACGGGGAAGAACTAAAACGACACACAAACACATGTTAATCGTTCTTGTGGAACGGTGCACCGTGAATCGAAGTCGAAGCCAAAAGCGCTCATCGTGGTTGTCTCGAGTTCATGAAGCCCTGCAAAATATTCGCTGATCGAATGCATGCACATGGCACAAAAGCAGTTAAAGGTTCCGCGGACGGTGTGCAAGAAGCCACTCGGTAGATATATACTCCGCAAAAATACTCGCCTTCATGCTGTGGCGCTGTGGTGCAATTGGTAGACATCTGATTCACGTGCATGCAGTCCCGAGTTCCATTCCAGGGCTGTGAATTGCATGACTCGCATAACCAATTGGTACTTGACGTGTTTAACAAATCAATCTTATACTTTGGGGAAGCTTACGTCGGCACTTGAGTACTAGAAAGTAGGGCTAATGACCACCTTAAGTGCAACTTTTGCTGTTTTTTGTGAAACATTATGGACGACCACTACGGCGGTGTCACCGGCTTCACCAGCCGTGTGGAATAAATATTATACAAGAGGAAGCGTATCATTACGTGCTACCCTTACGTCCAAAACACCATGAGATGCCGGTTGCGGTACCAGATTTCCAAGCGAGTAGTGCTACGCTTGTGTCGATTGCTGCCACCTTCCGCCACAGCATGCCGATGACGTGCGTGAACTATACAATAGAGTTTACGTTTCTTCACTTTCTTCAATGAACGGTTTTAGTCGGGTGTCCGCAGCTCCTCGGCACATGCAGGCTTTCCTTGAATTGGCTGGGAGCGCGTGTTCGTAGACCTCATGGAGGCTGCGGGCGCTCAACCACATTTACTGTCAGCTTGCGCCTGCAAAACAGCTGTAACGGCCGAATAAACAGTGTAACGGAAAAACCGGAGTAACGGAGTAAGTGAAACAGGCTGACCTGTTTATTTTTTGAAATATTGATTCTTTTCATATGGAAACACCCATTATGAAGAAGGGAACGCAAACGGGTGCTCTGAAAACAAAAGAAGTTGGAAAAAATCTTCCGCCCTCTCCCCGAAGGGAGCGTTGATAGGATGCGTAGCAGCAGTGGTGCGCACGGGGTTGACTCGGTTAAAACGGGCTTCGACGTGGGTTCTGGAACAATGATTTGAAGCAGAATTTGGTGTAGCAATTACTTGAGTAAACGTTCATATGAAATAAAAACACGGGAGAGGCGGGTTGGATTTTCTATAGGTTGCATCGCAGATAAACCAGCTGTGAGAGTAAACAAATTTATTTGCGTGTCTGCAGCTGCCTTACGGACGGAGGCTCACATTGCTAATGGCTGGCAGACTGCGCCTGTATGGCTGTTGCGGACGAGCCACTAATACCCATATTTGCAAACTTAGATAGAGGGAAGAAAAGAGACAGAGAAAGAGTAAACTAAAAGATAGAGAGAAAATAAACCAGAAATTGAGGATATCCAGTTGACCTTGCACTAAGAACTTGCACTAAGAAAAGGGGGAATGTAGAATAAATACGGAAACTAGAGCGAAGAGCAATATAGACAGACGAAAAAAAAGAAGAGTGGGGGTGCTATAGCCTATTCCATCGGCCACTACCATGCAAGAAATTGTATAACGCTTTCACTGAATTTCTGTGTGAAGACTGATCATGTCGGCTTTCGAGCACTCACTGTTCTGACAAGGGTATTTCGTGAAGGTGGGCTAACGCAGCATCTAGCGGCTGTCCTTGCACGCTATAGCCAGGGCAGTGAGAGAGAACGTGCTCTATTGTTTCATCACTGCCGCAATGATCGCAAGAAGAACTAGTCATAAAGCTAACTTAACCTTATGCGTATCACTGAAGACAACCTCAGCCATAAGTCAACCCTTAACGCGTTTCAAAGACCTACCTTGTTGCTAACGCGGAACATTTCTCGTACTTATGTGAGGTTTGGTTGGGGTAGCCTATGACCTACATTAAGGATTTTTCAAACAGCATAGTGGAGGACGACAACTTTACGTGTTCCGTTTAATAAGTGGACCACGAAGAAGTAATATTGAACAGCACAGCGTACGCCTAATGTTATCGCTATTGCGAATCCTCAACGACCAATGAAACCTGGTTGAGCCCTACGACAACCAAGAATTTTCGTGTCACCCCCGCTTCACTAGCAGTGCCTTGAAGAATCGGCTAGCTGTGCTGTTTTTGCAGAAAAATATTCCTAGTCTTGGATTTATTGTGCCACGTCTCGTGCAGCTGCTCATCACACCAACCTTTATGAAGTTGGCGTGTTTCAAATTGAAGTGACGGCCTTGTCAATTTTTCGTACCCTGCCGTGTCACGAATATACGGTCGAGCGGATACATGCAATGGTTGAAAAACAGTTTTTCCCGTACTGGTAAGGCTTCCACAAGAGGTGCAAACACGTTTCCAATTGTTTGGTTTGTCGTTCACAGATGCACTGTGTGTTGATTGTTGAATTCTACTGCGAGCTGCTTCCACGTTTCTCGTTTTCTTTGAAGGCACGCGGCGCCCGTCTTGGTAATTGTTCGAAAAACCCGTCAAGACATAGCCAATTCGTCGTGGAAGTTCACTTCGTTGCACCATTCCACAAGAAGTGCAACTTTGCAAAAAAATGCTTTCAAACGGCTAAATCTAGCAAATAGGTGTATTGAAATTTCAAAAAAAAAGGAAAGTAAGAAGCATGCACTGAAGCAATCACTATAGCTCCACCGAAGACAACAAAAACATAGAAGACTTCTAAATGACAAAAAAAAATGCCTGCGTCGACGGGAGTTCAAGTGGCCAGACGTGAAACGCGTATTTTACCGGTAGAGACCGGTGCCTAAACAAACATTGCTACTGTTAACGTTTGGCTGCTTCTGTGCATACTGTAATTGGTATCTCACAGTAAATCAAATTTGTGCTCGAGATGATGACTTTGTAGCAAAAATTTACTTACCCTCGCACCCAAAAGCTATGCTTGACGAGTTAAGGACGCCTTTCTTAAGGCGCCTTTATGACAGCATACAGGAGGTTTCTGATACGCACCTGGTACTTTTTTACATATACTTTTCTCGTCCTTTCGTAAGTAGCCTCACCGCCATAAGTTAAGATCGGTTCACGAATACGACGGTAAATCTGTTTAGTGTTTACCCTCGACGTGTGGTCGAGCTTTGCGCGAGGTAGGGAGGGTAAAGCGAGAGCGAAGTGTGTTGCGAGTGGACGGAGGGGCCGGCAGCTGCTGCCGGTGAGAAAGAGCGATATCAACACGCAGCTGCGAGTTGACCTACTCGGCATCGTTCCAACACCTGCGGCGTGACGTGAGCATGCGCAGTGGGTGTACGGAGGGATAACGTTACACAGGCTAGTCGAAGAGCTGCTTCGCATCTAAAAAAGTCACCTAACGCTGAAACGCACAGAAGAAATCTCATGGAGCAAAATGAACGCGTTGTGACAAAAGAAACTCTCATTGCATGCGATGTCTCTCCGCACAAACAAACTCTTACAGATGACAAAATAGTCGTGAGTTCGGACAACCACTTTTAGCGACAGCCATTGATTAGTGGCTGCATTGTGTGGCCAGCCGAAGGGTTAAAACTGACCAAAGAAAGAATTCCTAAATCTGTCTCTAAGCAAATGGACCTTTAAAAAGGCTAGAACATTTACGGCAGAGTTTCGTGAAAGTTGGCAATTATCAGTGCTTTATTTATTGAAACATGTGTGAGAACTTGTATAACCTTGTTTTCTGGAGTCATACTTATCTAGAAAAGTGACACTTTCCTAGGTGAGCCTTAAGTGGAGTATCTGAACCTAACCCAAACTTATGCTTTCTTTATACTTTCATATGCGTAACTCATCACGCAACTTAAGTTTTACTATCAAATACGGGCCTCAAATTGAGTTGTGGTAGTCAAAATTTAATGCAGTCTAAATTCTGAATGCTTGTGCACTGTGCGATGCCAGTGAGTGTTAAAGAACACCAGATAGCCAAATTTCAAGATTTTTTCAGTGCTGCATGCTCCGTAATCTTATCATAGTTCTGGTACGTAGCGCCCAATATAATAATATTCTATTCTAGATGTTATGCAATGTCTGTCTGGAAAACCAGAGAAGCCTGCCTGCCACATGATTTCTAATAAATATCTGCGTTATTTGAAATTAATATCCTGGATGATAAAATCGAGTTGGTTTCAGCATTAGAAATTAGCATAGCTTGCTTGGCTACTTACATATTGCAGAATCGTAGAATTTAGGGTAGATAATTCAGAAGCAAACTCAGTTCATCTTTGTATTAATTTCCTCGAACATGTTTCCACCTAAAACAAATAAGCGTTTGTAGAATATGGTAGAATATAGGTCTAAATATAACTGTCGAAGTTAGAAGTAATCTAAACCTTTGCTCACCATGCATTACTAAACGCAACGAACTCCTTCGACCAATAAATTTGAAATTCGGAACATCCTATTTCAGGAATCTCCTTCGCCACATATACACATACCTGGCTGAAAACTTGGCCCACATGACATCAGCAGAAGAGATTCTTTTTTGCGCAAGACCATCTCGGTCGTCCAAAAAAATGGTTACGCGTGACGAAAGTCCGGAAGGACTTCTGGCGACGATTGGAACTGCCTACTCCGCGCGCTCTACATCTGTGGAACAACCGGAGTCTTCAAGTGACAGCTTCGATTCATCATCCAGTGGAGCAGAGGTATGCGGACAAACTCAATTCAGCATTGCAGTCAACAGAAGCAGAGAGCTGTCGCTGGAAGGAAAGGAAGCATTGTTTTTACAGCTTTCAAAATTGTGACATTAAGTTGACTATGGTATGAATTTGGCTAGTTGATATATCATCTCTGTAGGTGTGAGTGGTCTGTAGCTATTACCTAAGGATGCCGGACAAAATCAGCAATGCGAGTGGTGGGGTTTATCACTCACCATCTTTCCCCTGAATCTACCCTGATAGAAGAAAGTGCAAAGCACAAAGTGAAGAGGCAGAGACTTTTTATAAAGAACTGACTTTTGCCGGCGCCTATATACTACTGGCATGATACTTTTCATGGGAATAGGAAAGGGTACTAAATGATTCCACAAGAAAGAGAACAGTGCTGAGAGAGAATATAAAGAAAAAGGAAATGTGCTAATGATATGATAAATATTGTTGGTCAGGTAAGTTAAAATTTACTGATGTGTATAGTAATAATAAACACGTGCTTGAACGACAACTGAACATGCTTTGCCACTGGTAGGTAACATTGCGAAACATATTACGCCCCGTGCCCGGATCTTCAAAACAGCGTAAAGTTGTAGAGGCATTAATCAATAACTTGTGCGAAGTTGGCCTTTTCATAAGGCTCTAATTGCACAAGGCTGAGCTCATGTCACAATATTTATCATAACCATGCGATGAAACGACAACCACTCAAATCCGAGTGAACTGTTGTTTACTTTCACCTAAAACAATCACGGATTTTCCCGTCTGCTCTTACTCCGCCACAACACCGGGGCATTATCCACTGCCCTAACACAAAAAAGCCAAGTTTTTATGCCGTGTTTTCGAATGGCAGTAAAAGCTTATCCACACATGTATTTTATCGTTATGAATAAAAGTGCCGTTCTGGACAGAGCACTGGCTAACAGCATGAGTGGTTATTTATGTAAACAAATATATACGCCTTGAAAAAGGGACGTTAAAAAAAAGTGACCGAAATGGAGGCACTGTGCATGTGTCCTGTTGCCTTTCTTCTTCCTGGAAAACCCACGCCCTTTTTTTTGCGATGAGTTACCCACAAATGTCTCACTCTTGAGCAGCAGAAGTAGGAAAGACTTTGATATGTGGGGTTTAACGTCCTAAAGCCACCATATGATTGAGAGACGCCGTAGTGAAAGGCTCCGGAAAATTCAACCACCTGGGGTTCTTTAACGTGCACCCAAATCTGAGCACACGGGCCTACAACATTTCCACCTCCATCGGAAATGCAGCCGCCGCCGCCGGGATTCGAACCCGCGACCTGCGGGTCAGCAGCCGAGTACCTTAGCCACTAGACCACCACGGCGGGGCAGAAGTAGGAAAGACAACAAGAAGAAATAAATGGACAATCGTCTCGAAGGCAGCCTTTGCACCACAGCACTTCTGATTTTCTATCAGAGCCAATAGTGTGGCTTCATCCCGGAGACGGGGACAACATCATATGGGCGTGCTCTATGGGAGTGGTGTGAATTACTAACCTGGTATGGTTGACTCCGCCGAGGCGACGAACTCTGCAGAGTCCTAGATGCTGGCTTAAGAGTTTCTCTGCCCGCATTCATCAATATATAAGGTTTCAAACCCAGACGAGGCCCCCTGATCGTATGCTACAACTGTGCGTTATTGCACCAGTTAGCATCTCCATTTTACCTCGACAAATGGGCAAGTGCGAAAGCCCCCTAGATTCTTCAGCACGCTGAACAAAGACGCATGTATGTGGGCTACTCGAGTACGGTATAGTTAATTCAAACATCACGTCCAGCATAGCGGTTCATGTTTACACCGAGCACGTATCCGCAATAATGGGAGGCGGATCCTTGCTCGGCGTGAAGATGTGGCCACAGCAAGCGGCCGTACACTTTTCTTAAAGCGAAAGTTTTGTGACCCCTTGCGCGTATCGCGCCTTGGCTGGTTGTCTTCGCGTCCCACCGTGATGGTCTAGTGGCTAAGGTACTCGGCTGCTGACCCGAAGGTCGCGGGGTCGAATCCCGGCTGTGGCGGCTGCGTTTCCGATGGAGGCGGAAATGTTATAGGCCCGTGTGCTCAGATTTGGGTGCACGTTAAAGAACACCAGGTGGTCAAAATTTCCAAAGCCCTCCACTACGGCGTCTCTCACAATCATACGGTGGTTTTCAGACGTTAAACCTCACATATCAATGATTTTCTCCGCGCGGAAAACTGCTGTTTTGACCTCGGGGAATAACGACCCCGGTATGGCCTAGTGCTGCAAGATGGGGGAAATTCCATCGGTTGGTGGATTGCTCCACTACCGTGGTGGAGCTTTCAGAAGAAACTGTGGTCGAACAGAAGAGGCTCTCACTCTCCCTTCCTATCCAATCCTAAAGTCTGATGTGAGCTTGGGTGCCCCGTCTTTTGCGTGAACGTGCCTTGAAAGGTGCAAAGCCAGTGGTTTCCTAAAAAGCAGTTTTGTAACTACACTCTAAGTCAAAAGGGTGTGGAAAAGGTGTGTGGTTCGTCCTTTTGGGTACTAATGGGGTTGCCACAACCATTAATCCTTTTTAAGACTAACGGCACCGGGTCTAACAGTAATTGCCACCGACTAGCTCACGGGACTAATATTTAGTCCTCACATTTACACCTTAGCGGGTGACCGTTAGCTCTACAAGTCATCTTAAAGACTAACAATCATTCCTCACATTTGCACCTTATCGGGCAGCCGTTAGTCTCCACTTTCTGACCTTACCGGGCAACCGTTACTCCTCACAGTTGCACCTTGCCAGACGAAAGATTGATCCACTGAAAAACTCCAATGTGGTGAACTTTTTATTCCCACTTCAAATATGTTTTTTTCCTATTTGCCCTCCGCCAAGCCTAACAGTATTTTCACCTATTTTACTACACAGTGAGCAATAAATCATGCGGAAAAGAACCCGCGAAAAATGTATTTTGCCATCTGTGTGTCACTGCTTTCACAGTCACTGCAACAACGAAAGAAAAAAGTCAGACATTGAAATTTTTTTATATATATATACACACGAAGTGTTTCTATTCTTTAAGAGAAATCATGGTGAAATGTACAAGTTTAGCCTCGTTTTCACATTTTGTACAGTCCTTGTGAAGCTCCTTCGACGGAAGCGATAGATGACAGGCCTTGTAGACGCCAGCGCACACAGCCTTTTGCATTCTATGTGCCCATGGCTGTACAATAAAATCGTAAAACTAATTAGTCACACGTGACAGAAGATCATGATGCACACGTATGACAAGTACGTAAAAGTTTATATAAAACATAGGTGTGAAATACGACGTGCAAATAGTTTCACCATGATGTCCCACATTGTTGTGATCCAGGTTTACGGTTGAGTAAATTGTCGCTCGGAGAGAAAGCCTCGGAGCTAAGAAATGAAGAAGCCGTTTAAAGTTATAAAAGAAAAGTAGAAAATTTAAGCATAATTAAGAGAAAAAAAAGATGAAGTTGCAATGAACAGACACCGAGTCTAAGCAGACAAACTAAAACATGTCCTCTAAGTTGTCCAGCTATGATGTTTATGAAAATCAAGTCACCGGTGGCGTTGATGGTGGTGGTGGCTTGGTGGGTTGAGGCGGCGGACGCTGGCGATGTCTCGGCAGCTGGAGTCACGCGCTGACCAGCACGGCGACGCTTGGTGGAAGACGAGGTAGCCCTTGCCTTAAAAAGAACTGCGGCTGCTTACCGATGCTGGCTCGTTTTGAGGAGGTGATAACCACCCGGAAGGTTCCGCCCTCTACGGATGGTTCGGGACCGGAGTCGAAGCCCGGACACCTGGGACGTGACTTTGAACAGTCACGGCCGGAACTCTGGGAGGCCGCGTACCTCCGAGTACACCATGGGCAGCTGGAGCGTCCTGGCCTTGCCTGACTTCACGCGTTCGCGTCCGGAACCCGACACTCAAGTCGAGCGACACCCAGGATCTTCACTCCAGCCAGCTAGATCTCGTTCTGCCCCCGACTCGCCTTCTTCTTCTTCCCGCTCGTGCCTTGACAGCGCAACCATTCGCGTAAACTTTCTCTTCCTTTTTGCGGGCCGCAGTTTTATGCGTGACGTGTCGCGCCAACGTTATCATCGTCTTTCCGCCGCCCAATCGAGAAGCACCGCTGCCGTCACCTCCGAGCACACTGTGCAAAACACCAAGGTGCCACCACACTTCACAGACACCACGACGTCACTATTCTACAGCACAACAGGCCCCTTTTGGAAAAGTTTTTGTGCACGAAAAACTGCTGCTCAGTTCTTAGATGAAGTCACTAAAAACACACGCATACAGAGTAGGCCGAGAACCAAAATTGTCCAGTTGCCTTAGGTTGGCAGTTTACTGCAATGAGATGTAACGTCACCATGCTGAAATAATTGTACTAGTGTATAGTCACTGAATTCGGCTCATGTATTTCGCCCCGACATTTTCAGACCCCTTGATGTTGTCTACATAAAATTCATATTCCTGCAAGGCCAAACTCCATCTCAAGACTCTGCTGTTAAGGTGTTTTGCCCTCTACAAATATTGCAAGGGTTGATGATTGGTCAGAACTACAAAAGAGATTGCGTGTAAATATATATGAAAATTTTCTATATCCCACACAAGAGCTAAACACTGACGCTCTATAGCCGAGTACTTCTGTTCTCGAGGTAATAACTGTCGGCTAGCGTATGAGACTGGGTGTAACACTGAGTCATGGTCTTTCATAAGGACGGCGCCTATGCACGTATCGCAAGCATCACTGCGTAGTATGAAGGGTCGTTTGACATCCGGAGCCTTTACTATCGGTGCTTGGGTGAGCGTCTTCTAGAGGATTTTGAAGACGGCTTCCCTCTCGCTGTTCCAGCTGACCTTGTTGCTTTCTCTTTTCTTGGTCATTTCGGTTAGGGGCTGACCCTTCACGTAATGGGGTATCAAATCACGGTAATACCCTGTCAGACCAAGGAAACAGCAAAGTTGTTTGTTGATCTCAGGCTGTAGAAGTTTTTC